ATAGTTAACTAATCTCTACAGATAGAACATGGCAAGAACATTTTGGTAGCAATACAAAGAAGAGGAAAAAAAGATGGCTTTGTGATTTAAAAGCTAATGGCTTGTTCATTCATTCCCCTGTTAAATTCCTGAAGATTTTCTAAGTACATATTGCCTAATTCAAGTTTCAAATAACCAGTTGAGATGAGACATTTGTTCAGCTACCAAAGCATGCTCATCATCTCAGACTGAGGTAAAGAGCAGCATTGCTCCCACCAGTGCTCTACAAAGAGGAGAAACATGCATATCAAACCCGAGAGGGCCATGTGTACACAGCACAAAAGAGATGCTGATAATGTATGACACTTTGGTTTTGGCAGTTCAAACATTTCTAAACAGGAATGTGATAACGCAGAAAAAACCCACGACTTCTGCCCCTCAAAAAGCCAGGACTGGTTTAGATATGATTTAGAAAGAAATGCAAGAAAACACAGGCCTGATTCTGTCAGTAAGACAAGAAAGATCACATGCATTAAAAGATAAAACACTGCATATTCTGAATGTTTGCAGGATTTTTCTCCTTTAATAAGAACACTTCAATATGGCCACTTAACTTTTGGTAAGCCTTATGAATAAGGCTTATGAATACTGCTTATGAATAAGCAGTATGAATAAGCATTACATTCTTTTTCCATAATATTTTCAGTGAAATGATGACTTCACTATATTTTATAATATATAAAGAAGCCTCAAAAATGGCCATGAGTTTTTACTGTTTATTTCCCCCCACTTATGTACCAGAAATACCAAGTCTAGTCTTCACCGGTTATAAAGGATGCCTGTGAAAATTTCAGGGTATGGTTGCTTATGTCTTTCCACAACTGATGAAAAGCAGCTGTGTTGAATCTAAAACCCCTCCTTGATCAGAACCATTATATACTGAAGTTATAGATATTAATTCTTTGAACCATGCAAAAAATATAGCTCTCCCCCTAAAACCAGCTGAGATTTCATTTGATCCCAGGTCATCACTAGGCCCACAGAGTCTTAATGTTTCAAAGCTGAAAGCCTTTATTTTTTCCACACAAAAGGCAAGAAGAAAAAAACCACCCACCTGAAAATCCTCTTTATCCATGATAAAAATGGCCATAACACCATTAAAGCAAGAACAGTAGTAACACTTTCCATCAATTCTGACCAAAGAATTTCAACAATTCTTACGAAGGAACAGAGGTCAGTATAGCTATTTAGCCTGCCTTTATTGCTTCCCTACCACAGTCAGGCATCCATGATGCTGGTCAAAATTAGGGCAACACAGATGAACCCATCCCAAAGAAGTGTTCTAGCTAAGGAATATCAGGTTTATAGACAAAAATTGGCTAACTGAAGTCTGAAGAAGAAGCAAAACCACAGCACAAGTAATAGACAGAAAAGTATGTTTACGTTCCTGATTTGGTAGCACATTAACACAAAACCAGAAATGGTGGGAGGAGGGATGTAAAGGTTGCTATGAATACCTACCAGCTGTTACCAGCACAAGATTTTGTCACAAATTCACTATTACAGCTCTTCCCCTAAAACTGAAAAGTTTCTCATGCTACTTGTTCCAGTACTTCCTCCTTAGCAGAAGCTTTTATACCAAATTACACTTGTAATTGGTAGTTACATTTCTCCAAACAAGCAAAATTGGATTTTGTTTTCCCCAAAACATAAGTTTAATACATATCCTGTAAGTATTGCCATCACTTGTTAAACAAATAATGCTTCCTGTATTTAAGAACTTAAGAAAATTGTTTGAAGTTTCACAGAAAAAAAGAGACTGCAGATGTATCATTACTTACAAGGCAGTTATCACAAATGCTACTTTCTTTTCTTTTTTGTGGTCATTCATTCTGTTTCGCAAAGGTTTAAAATTATTACATCTCAAACGAAAGCCTATAAAAACATACTGAAAGATACAATATGCTTAAAAGAGTTTTCTTGGTTTCACAAGCTTTTCTTGTTTCTCTTTTATGAAGAGCTAAGAAATTAAAATTAGCATTTGAAAGTATTCAAAAGATTGTTTAAACTTCTCATTTAGGTGTCAGATTCCACAGGTGCGATTTCTCATTAAGTACAGTGAAACCTTGAAATCAACCTTGCTAGGCAACCTCTGTTCTTAATATCATAAAGCAAAACAATAAAATAATAATCAACTAAAAGATAGAGCCTAAGATGAGCGCGGAAAGAACACACTGCATATCTGTTCTCTTATCTTACATATTGAGGGTATCGAGGTTCTATAACTTCTGGTTAAAAAAAGAACCTTAACTCATACCATTTCATTGTGTAGTCAACTCTTCTGACATTATTATAACTCATTATATTAATCTTATAACTCGTGTTACAGGTCTTTTAGTTTTAATTTTAAAAAGCATTAATAAAAAGAGCACATAAAGAGTACTGCTGGGAACACTTGAGCACCGGGACTAAGAGACAGGATTTTTTTTTGCAATAAAGCTAATAATTCTTGAAAGAGAAAAAAGTTATGCTGGCACAGCATTTTGCTTCTCAAACTAAACTGCTTGCAAGACAACTACTATTACAGCAGAATACTTTTTTCACAAAATTATTAAAATTGCAGTTTAAATTGACTTCTAACAACGTAAGCTTTAGGGAAACATCTGTTTTTACACCGACTCTGGCTTCCAGTGGACCAGAACTCTTTATTTACTGCTAATTCACGAAAGTGAATATATTATCAGTCAGTTTGCTGGATAATATCTATACAAAACAGAAGCTCTCAAGAAGTACTTTGAATTAAACCAGATAAAGTGCAATTTCTTACCTGATAAATTTTGCAGGTATGGACTGCATCCCTCAAGATCTTACCACTCAAATGGCAAATGAAGATAATACCTGAATTTCTAACTCTCCCCCAACTAAATAAAAAACAGAAACTAGAGTTTCTAATAAGCACTCAACCTTCAAAATTATTACAGGAATACCTTTAATTTGAAAGGTAGTACACTAAACAATAAAAAAAATTAGAAAACCCACACGCTCGTTACATATACACATCAAACCCAAACTAATTTGGAACCTCACTGTCTAAAGCAAACACATGCCTAAAGTCTACTTGCATTCAAAGCTTCTCCTATTTCATTTAATTTTCCTTATAAACATATGGGAAGATGTTAATTCTAAGTGTTTAGTATTTTGTATCTCAACATAGAATAAACATCTTCAAGCTTACAGCTTCCGTAAAATAAATTTACCAGTAATAATATAATGACAGCTTCAGAAGATGAGGAAAATGCATCGAAAGTGGTGTTACCACCCATTCCAGATAGCAGTTTCTGAAATGCTTAGAAAGCTTTTCAACTTACAGGCCTCTAAGAACCATAAGAAAGAGAAGACACTAAAACCAAAATACATTATATTTTGCACTGCAATATAGATTCATGCCATCTGTGCAAAGTAAGGACACTGATTATTTTAGAACATCCTGTTTTGAGTTATTTTACTGACTTTTTCAAGTCAATACTTATCTATGCAGAAATCTTTGTGAAAGCCATGTGTATTGGGTCTGTGTGGCAAGGTTTTGGTAGTGGCGGGGCGGAGGGGGGGCTACAGGGGTGGCTTCTGTGAGAAGATACCAGAAGCTTCCCCTGTGTCCAACAGAGCTGATGTACCAACTGGAAACATACGCAACTGCAGCTGGAGAGAGGAGTGAGAATATGTGAGAGGAACAACTCTGCAGACACCAAAGGCAGTGAAGAAGGAGGGGGAGGAGGTGCTCCAGGTACCGGAGCAGAGATTCCCCTGCAGCCCCTGGTGAAGACCATGGTGAGGCAGGCTGTCCCCCTGCAGCCCATGGAGGTCCATGGTGGAGCAGATATCCACCTGCAGCCTGTGGAGGACCCCATGGCAGGGCAGGTGGATGTGCCCAAAGGAGGCTGTGACCCCGTGGGAAGCCCACACTGGAGCAGGCTCCTGGCAGGACCTGTGCACCCATGGAGAGAGGAGCCCACACTGGAGCAGGTTTGCTGGCAGGACTTGTGGCCCCACGGAGGACCCACACTGGAGCAGCCTGTTCCTGAAGGACCACACCCTGTGGAAGGGGCCCCCGCCGGAGCAGCCCACGACCCCCTGAGGAGGAAGGAGCGGCAGAGACAATGCGTGATGAACCGACCACAACCCCCATTCCCCATGCCCCTGAGCCACCGGGAGGGAGAGGGAAGAGAAATCAGGAGTACAGTTAAGCCCGGGAAGAAGGGAGGGGTGGGGGAAAGTGTTTTAAGATTCAGTTTTTATTTTCTCATTACCTTACTCTGGTTTGATTGGTAATTAATTAAACTAATTTCCCCAAGTTACGTCTGTTTTGCTGCCCGTGACAGTAGTTGCTGAGTGATCTCCCTGTCCTTATCTTGACCCACAAGGCTTTTGCTATATTTTCTCTCCCCTGTCCAGGGGAATAGACAGAGCAGCTTTGGTGGGCACCTGGCATCCAGCCAGGGTCAACCCACCACACCATAGTAATATCAGCAATACAAAAATTAAATTTGGCAGATGGAAAAGAAAAATTATTAATCTACTGGGCAACTTTAAAAGTTTACCTGTATTGTTTATCAGTGACAATCCTTAAGCATAAACTAGAGGAGACAACCTTTTTTACTTTACAGTCCAAGATAGTTAATACTGAACAACACTTACCCCCCAGGTGTCTCCCAAATAAAGACCATCAGTTGCACAAAAGTACACTCGACAATGTTTACCTATTTATTTTGTTTTGTTGCTAGTTTTGGTTTGTAAACAGAGTCATGACGCAATTGAGTTCCTTGAATAAATCAAGCCACATTTACATTATCACATAAACGGTGACTTTTAAAAAAAAAAAAAAAAAATCTTCTCTGTGACATTAGACTAAAATTCTGCAGAAAAATGACATTTTATATCCTGTACCATGACTAAAATTTGAAGAAAGTATTTATTAGCTTGCTAGACCTAAATATAATTAATACTTGATGCATTGTATTTACCATTCTGTAATCCCATCCACAGTTGCTTATGATCCTTTTTTTGCATCTCATTGATGACTTGACTTTTGTGCTTTAAAGCATCTGCTTCTTTTATACAAGCCATAAAATGAGCTTCAATCACATCCTTAGAATGGCAGTGTAGAAGATCCTTTTCTGGAAAATTCTGCAAAGAGGAAAGATAGATCAAGAGAAATAAATGCATCACACACCTTAGAAGATGAAGTATAAATTATAATTTTAATCAGGTTTGTATTTATACAAAAGAAGCACACTGGAGTCTTCTACTTATGGAAGAAGGTAACAACCATTCTCTCACTCTGCTGACAAGAAAGGTTTTACAGTGAAAAACATTTCAGGAAAAATAAGAGTCGAGCAGTTTTCTATAAAACCAGAAATTACTCTAAATCACCCAACCTCAACTTGATAAATACATTTAAATACATCAGTGGATGTAGTTAGGCCCTGACATCCAAAATTCAGGAAATTAAGAGTTTTAACATGTTTTCAAGCAGATGTTCAATTCTCTGGCAACAAACAGGAGAAAAGGGGGAGACGTAAGTGACAAGCACCCAACTCCTATTGACCCTCAACAGCAGTTTAGCAACCATTTCTATGCAGGCCTTTGAAAAATGTTTCCTCCAAGTGTCATCATCCACATATATGAACAATAGCATACATGCCACTTACAAACGTTTTTTCCTAGAGATACTGGAAATCCTTGTCAGCTCCAACTTTACCTAAAACATGCGCCTATTGCTAGCACGTGTGACTTGATTTCATACCCCTTTTATTTGGTTAGAGTTGGCGCACTGCATTCAGCATTGCAGATGCACAGTTACCACTCCTCAGGTAACTTTTATCCCCTCAGTAAATGACAACTACCTTTACTAATTCATTTATTAAGGAATTACGCTAGTAAATCTAACCCAGGTACAAAAAGGATTTCTTTGGAAATTAACTAATCAGAAGTTCAGCATTGTATAGGTATACAATTAAGAATTGTTCTTCCTCTAATTTTTCTTTTATCAACACTTGGTATCACTTGCCATTTTACAATAATACAAGTATTCAGTATCACAAATGCATTGTCTTTAGTTTCCAAAGGTTTAAAAACCCAGCATGTTTTATCCTCTCCTTATTCATCTTCTTTTCACAGTTGCTTATGACCATGCTGAACAGTGCAAACCCCCAGAGCCAAACCAGAGTGGCATCATTAGTACGCCCCTTCATAACAAGGGCTTGCCACATATTTTTATACTTTAATTCTCATCTGTTATTCCACAAGAGGACCTTTCCTCTTAACCCATTACAAATTGGTTATTTAAAAAAGCTTTTGTGAGGGACTGTCAAAACCATTTTGGAAATATAAGTACATACAATGGGATATTTTTCAAAGGCTTTTACAACATAGTTAACATGTCACAGTAGGATCAATACAGTGCTGGAAAAACCCGTACCTTCCCTCCTCCATATAAAACCAGGAAAAATAGTGAAGACTGCTTCAAACTACAGGAACTCAAAATATCCAAGAACAACTAACAGTTGACAATATGAAAGGGAGCTGGGGATTGCCTTACCTGAAGGAAATTCTGAGGACAAGAATGGTAGTTCCCTTCTCATTAGGATACTGAAAAGAGTTGGAAGTTAAATAATGGAATTTCATATCATGATTTCTCCTTATGACAGTGAACCCAGACTCTGGAAACTGTGGATCAAAAGGATGAATATCTTCCAACACCAGAAGTATAAAGGGAAGAGAAGACTGCTAATATCTTTTCCACCAAAGCATACATGGTTTGGTATCGAACTTACAAAGGGAGTGCTATTGTTACTTAGGACTGATGTCTGTAGAGCTGACTAGAAATCTAAGGACAGAGGTAAAGCTTGTTTCTCACATGAGGATGGCCAATTATAAAGACGTTAAAGAAGACTGAACAGAAAGGAAAGTTCTCCTTCTAGGGCAGACCTCACTCCCTTTCTTCCCCACTCTCCCACAAAGCTGAGTGTCTCAGCATAATTGGGCCCAAGATGAATGGAACACATTACTGGGATTGTTGCTTGCCAGCTGACATCTGTATAGGCCTGTAAAACACTTTTAGAAGTTTAACTTACTTACTCAAGGAAAAAAAGTAAAGTCTGGTAACCAATCCAGAAGAAAAGAACAGTCAGAAATAGCATACTTCAAGATCAAAAACGTTCTTTACGTGGAAGAATTCAAAGTGAGACACTGGCATCCCTCAAAAAAAGATGAAGCAGTGGAATGTACCTAATGTCAAGGAATACAGGAACCTAGAAACTAACTTTCACAGTTAAAAGCTGAAGTTTTAGCTAAGTTTATGAAAACACTAGTTTTGTTATAACAGTTTTGCTGCACATATGTTGAAATATACTGAACTGTAGGGGTTTTTTTTTGGACATTCCTGTCTTTCTACAGGTAGGCATCTCCCTGCTGACTTTCTTCCAATGAATTTCAAATTACAGGGAATGTCACTCCCTGGGGATGTGTTCCAGACAACACACACAGTGTGGTCTGCAGAATAGCAAGGTGATATTTAAAATTGTTCAAAGCTAGCTAAGCTAGTGGAAAGAATCTAGACACAGTAGTACAAAGGTGTGGCATGATTCATTTCCCAGCTTCTAAGGGATAACACTGTGGAAGACTGGAAAACACTTCTACAGTCTCCGTGCTGTCAACTCTTTTCTTTAGAAGAAAAATACTGACACATTTCTATGCAGTACTGTGAGTAGAAGCTGAAAAACCTAAACATGAAAGCAGTAACAAACAAGACTGCTGCATCTACGAGAGGCATATGAAACAGTTTCACTACATGAGACTACCAACAGAAAATATGGCATCCCCATGGATTTATAAACTAGGGCACAGAATAATAAGTTTTATACTTAAATATAGAACATGTATGCTTGCTTGGTTTTTTTTTTTTGTTTTATTTCTACTTGTCATCTTTCTACTTGAGGAAATAGTAATCAAATGTAAATAACTTTATTCAGTTCCCTGAAGAAAGAGACAATTGTAAACAAGCTTGTAGCCACCCCTGGCTACACAACTATGAGATTTGCCGGAAATTTTAACAGATCCCATAAGCAGCTTTAATTCAAGTACTCTTATTGGTGATGCCTTACTCCCTCCATGTTCTGTATCTTTGAAGGAAAGTTATTAAGAGTTGTCTCTGTCTTAGAAAGCTCAAGTAGTACTGGTTTTGTTTCACATACCAGTAGACACGTGCAGCATAAACTTGGTCATAAAGAAGTAGGTATCATCTGTACAGACAGCAGCATCTAATCACCTCTCACATAAAACTTCCAAAAACATTGCAGGTAATTTCAACAGTCTGGTTTCATAACTGCATTCCATCCATATTTATCTATTAGTTCTAGTTCACAAAACATCTGTTTATACTGTGACAGCGTAGTTGCATTAGGCCACGTTTGCAGAAAATTACACCAATAATGTGGCACTAAAAATCATAGGAACATATCCAGTGACAGGGGGAGCATCCATGTATTTGTGTTTAGTTACCATCAGCAGTCTTTTCTGAAAAAAAGATTAATTTTAAAATCCCCTCATTTATATTTCTGGCTTCCACAATGTTGCCTAGCAGTTCCACAATTTATCCACACGCCACATGGAAAAGTACTTCCTTTTCACTCCACCTGACCCGATTTTGAGCTAAGAAAACCAAGATGACAGCGGTTGTTATACAAAAACAGATGCAGCCTCTCCTCCTCTACATCAGGTCATGGGTGGCGAGGCAGGCACCAGCAGGTAAGGGCTTCAGCGGAGGGAGAACCTCAGCCTTTCCCCTGGCACACCCGATTTCCTCCCCTGCTACCGTTTCCAGAGCAGTTCACACCTCCCATCTACTGCCCAAAATCTGGAGAGCTGGTAACCAAGCTGAGATCACAAATAGTGCTAAGCGTGCCACAGAATAGCATGGGATGAGTTTAACAGGGAGGGATAGAGTTTCCCTCCTCCCCGGAAAGCCACACCTGGGTAAAAAAAGCAACTTCCCAGACTACGGCTTCTCATGATTCTCAGACCTTAGTATTCTCTTCAAGCTTGTCCTTCTAGGACTATTTAAGGCAAGTGTATTTCAACTTTACTAGAGATATAAATGCATGTTATTTTATTGCATGCCAGAAGTACACATGACTAAACTGCTTCTTCAATGAAAACAGTAAGTGTGTTTATTATTTGGTCTGCATACCTAACAGGAGGACAATTACAAGTATCTGTCAACTTTCAAACTTCTGCTGAACAGAAATAAACTTTTTTAAACAAAGAAAACTGATGGGGGGGGGAATTTCAGAAACTCTCTTTACAGATGATGGAGATATCTGTTGTTGACTGCATGCTTTGGTAAAAGAAAGGAGAAAGCCATGACAACAGAAGTTAAACCTCAGAAAAATCTAATACTGTTCAATTAAGCCAAATAAAAATTACAGCTCTTTGAAGAATAACTGCACACAAATGAAAAAAATAATCCAGGCAGGAATCCCACACCTAAATTATTTAGCTGTAAGAAACTGTAACACATGAAAATGTCTTCAATATTTTGACATACTTTGATATATTTCAGTTATGTTTTGACTTCAAGGATTAAGAGGAATTTATTTAAATAAACTTTCAGATTACATCGAAAACAGGAAGAGAGATTAAGCAGGTGCTTAATCCAAGGTGTTATATTTTTAAAAACTAAATTACATCAGCTTTTAAAATAATACTGCCTTAGCAGTAAATTATTTCTGCTGATCTTTAATGTACACCTTTGAGACAAACTTAAGTTAGCTGATCTTTTGGCAAGCACCAATATAAGGACATCAAAGTCAGTTTACATTACTACACGAAATTGAAACGCACTGTGGTGCTGCAACTTATTTCTCAAGACGGCTCTGCTTTGGGATGGCAACATCCACACGCTGCCACTGCTAATCTTTCAGAGCTCTCAGAACACGTAGCAATTAAATCATGATCTATGAAACTAGATGCCCTAGAGTTTCTTCAAAACACTCTGAAAGTTTCTTCATCCCAGCTCTCTCTGACATGTATCAGACAGGAGTGTAGCAATTACAATGGTTTCAAAAAACATCCCCAACTTCACATTCATTCAGTCAGTCATTTTAGAAGTTTCAACATGTGGCAATACATATCATAAGAATGTATGATTTCAGTGCACACTTCCAAAAAGAATCAGACTACTCGTCTTAGCAAGACCTTTTCTGAAACACCCTCAAGAGAAAAATTGTTTGAATGAAAACGTTCAACACGACTGCTTCCCAGTATGCTTTTCATTTCATCTCAAATCTCACACACTCAAGTCAAGCTTATTAAGCTAGTGTTTTCCTTTGGATCAGTTTTCCTATTGCATTGTTTCTTTTATAATGGAGAAATTAAAGTTTCAAAGTTAAATACCATGATTTCTAGTTGTGATTTTGACTTCAAAACATACCTGGGATTATCACCTCAATGCATTTCAGAGCATGAAAGAATCCTGCACCAAAGCTAACCCTGCGCAAGTACTCTTCTGAGCAAAGATCAGTAGTGCTATGAAGTCATACCTAATGGTTTTACAATGTGTAATCAAAATAATGTCTCTCCTGTGACTAAGCCATCACAAGACCAAACTCATTTCACTCAGTTCTCTAAAGGGGACCCACATGAAGTACAACAGTGTTCCCTGACTTCAAGGATTTCTACAGTATCTCATATCCATGCTCATGTGTCTAAAAGGATAAGCACTTCTCAATCTTCCCAGTCTTCAGTCAACCCAAGCTGACTGAATTAAAAACATTATAGGAAAAGTTCTTCCCTTATATCCACTCAATTGCACTGACATAGTCTCATAACTTACCTTGAAAAACAATTTTGGATTTTCAGATTATAATAGAATCATTTACAAAGGAAAGTCATTTGAAAGCACATACAATCTCATGGAAAACAGCTGTAAACTTACAGAAAACTTCAGATGATTCCTGAAGATTCTACCATTCACTTACTGATAAAATAATTATGAAACCTTTTCCTAGCTTCCAAATTTCATGTAATCCCATGCTCACTCGTTCTTAGCTGAAGGTGTATTTCACTTTTACCTTGAAATGCACTGTGATGCTCCAAGGAAGGGCTGTATTTGATGCATGGAGATCAAATAGCAAACCAATTGGGTAATGCCTAAAAATGAAGCAATATTAAATGAACATAAAAGCTGTGCATTTAAATTCTACATATAACAGTTAACAAACATATATTTACATTTAAAAAATCAGCTGTTTGACTCCCACAATTAACATTCATTATTGCTTATTCAGAAAAGTTATACAGGCAGGTATAAATGACTGACAGTTTCTGGCAGAATCAAGTCTGGAACTTACATGTTCAGTATCTAAACCAGCGGTCTCCAGGCTGTGCCCACAAAACACTGCTAGCTTTGCAACAGCATAAGTGGCCTACAGCTGCTCTGTGGAATCCTTCAAAACAGTATTTTTAGTTAAAAAGCTTGACAATGGTAGGAATAACTGGTCTGACAGAAAAGTATACGTGCTTTCAGATACTTAAACACCATGGGTTTATACCACATTGACCCTTAGCATCTCTTCCCTCTCCCACCTGCCTCATGTCATTGTAGAGAATAAGTAGTAAAGTGAAAAAATGACATATCCGTAAAAGGGCTGAAAGAGGATAGATCAAGATGAACTCTACAGCTTTACTATCAAATTAAAAAGAATGGAAGGGGAGAAAAAAAAAAAAAAAGATTAATTGGAGTTTTGTATTTCAGTGGTATTCTGGATTAAAGGAGTTACACAAAGAAGCTGCTTCCTCCAAATATTCACTTCTGTCTCAGCTTTGTCTCCTTTAAATCTATTAGAAGATACAGCCTCCAACGATATACGGAATATATATCACATACACAAAACTTCCACAGGCACTCTAAAAAGGTCTTTCTGCCATTTTCCCATAAGCAGACACTGGCAAGATTTTTGGTAATTTTTCTTTTTTTTTTTTTTTTTTTTTTTTTTTTTTTTTTTTTTTTTTTGCATTCAGCATGCCAAGCTCCATTCTCTTGTTCAAAAACCTTAACTAAAAGAGCCTAACTAGCTTTTCATCCTACAAAGCAATGAACACACACTTAACTCACTAGCTTCACTGAATTAAATGGGACTGATCACAGGACACAGAGCCAAGCACGTACATAAGTTTTGAAAGTCCAGAGAGCAATAACTGAGAGCATTGCTCTAAAAGCATCTGTGCCAAGCCAATTTCCTGACCTACTAAACTCTCACACAACAGTGCTTTAGCACCCTCTACGGGTGAGCTAAGCCCAAAGCTAAGACAACGTCACCACAACAGCAAAAATAAAAACCAAAACAATACAATTCTTGAACTTACCTGTCGCACTTGTAACAACTTAAAAGAAAGAATAGGGGGAAATATCAAGAAAGTATCTAGAACTGTGTTTTCCTGACAAAGGGGATAAAGAATATAGATAAGGCATATCCAGATTTATCCTGATTCACTGCTAATGCTCAGGTTTTTACCACTAAGACTTCTTACTACTAACTGCCAATCAAGGCTTGAGTAGTTCAACAGGGATTCAGGAAGAGTTCCATGAAAGAGTGGGTTTCCAAATGAGCTAAGTAACAAAAACTAGATTTCCTTTGATAATTAGATGAACACAATGACTTTCAGTTACTTTTAATTTATACAACAAAATAGATAGCTAAAAAAACCAAACAAACCAAACCACCAGTTCTTGGCCTACCTCTATATTTTCTACCCAGTTTAGATTACAAAATGAAGTTCATGTACTCAAGCTTTCTTCAGTAAAATCCTTGTGCTTTGCACAGTTGATAGATGGTTTTTATTCTGACAGAGGTCAGCCCTAAATTAATTTTGTTCCATAACAGGACACGTGAGATTAATAAAGACAGTAGACCACGAGAGAAATTGTTTTCTATTCAGAAGCACAGCCTTCCCTTAAGAGTAAAGTTCACAACAGGTGTGAAGCAATCCTGAGATACAAGGCATGTCCTGCTTCAAATTCCAGTTCTCACACACTAGCATTTAATCTGAAGCCAACAGAAGCCTTAAGTAATGCCTGTACGTAATGGTGTGTTTCACTTATTTTTGAGATATAGTTACAAGCATTTTTTAAGAGTCTGGAAATAATAGCACCCTTATATTTCCCCTCATAAGAAAACCTGGTTTCTTAACCAGTATTCCCTCATTAAAGATCTTGCTTCCAGTGGTACTGCTGCAGTGCTCTTTCTGAACTTCTATCTGAAAAAATAGGCCTTGCAATTGAAGAACTACACAAATGCTCTCTAGAGCCTACAGTAACCAGCAGAATGAAAAAAAAAAAATTCAAAACCCCAAGAAAACCTTTAAAGATTTGCCCCCCGCCAAAAAAAAAAAAAAAAAAAGAAAAAAGAAAAAAAAAAAAACAAAAACCCAAAAAAACCTTTAAAGATTTGCCCCCCGCCAAAAAAAAAAAAAAAAAAAGAAAAGAGAAAACAAACAGAACAACAACTAAGGGAAATGTCCAGCCCAGAAACGTATCATTTTGAAAAAAATATTATTGGATTGTTGAAATCAAACTGGTCTTAACTAGAGTGGGAGCCAAGGACAGGCAGACCGTGCAAAACTTTCTCAAATGAAATAATGGGAAAAATATCAAAGAGAAAATGTTTAAGAGACCACAAATCTTTTTTTACAAGTTGCTAGAATAATGATTGATTCTGGAAAGTCTTCAATCTATAGAAGTGTAACAGCACCTTGACTTCCAGCCATTGTCAATTTATTACTGCTTTTATTATTATACAGAAGGTGGTTTCAGAGTCCAAGAGAAGTCCTGGAAAACACCACATTAAGTACTTAAAATTCTTTTGAAAGTGACAGATGGACAGTAAGGAAAATCAATTACTACTTTTCTAACAATTGCTTTCTGAACCCAGAACAGAAAGTGACAGCATGAGTTGGTAGGTTGTTTTCAGACCAGAATAATTTACTGTGGTAATTCAGTAAGACATGTCACATGAACTGATAAATCCAGGACAAAAAAAATCCTATGCTCCAGAACTGTCTGGAGTACTAAGTGTATCAAGTGGCCAAAATCCGGTGTTTAGGTATTTCTTTGAACAAATGTCTCACTGAGGAAAACTTTAGCTGCATCGGAAAACAGTCTCACGTTTTCCTTTAGTATTTGGTAAGAAATAACTTTTTCTTAGATCTTTTAAGCAAATGCTAGCATTTTCAAACAATGTCAGCTATGCCTGATCAAATGGTGCTTTGACCTTTTTGTCTTCCACTGATTCCGGATTAGGAGGGCTCAAGCATCCATCCAGTTGGTACTAGAGAGACACCTATGCAACTACCAGGGCTAGAGCACAATCCACAGAAAGGGGACAGAAACTCTGCTGAAGGCTACGTGCAAGTGCTCAAATAGGATGGTAACAAGCTACAGGGGGTGTTGTCCCCTAGCATCTGCTGAAGAAACCACCCCTGGCTCATCAGAGGCCTTCACTCAGGCAGAGCTCCTGAGAGAGGGTGCAGCTCTCCAGGTCTCAAGCTGCCAGGAGACCTTGGGACCTCTCCTGAGGGCTGGGGCAAGCAGAGGAAACGTCCTTGCCTAGAGGAGGTGTGTGGTAGTGGAGGAGCTATGTCACCAAGTTAAGGAGCTGCAGGAGGTCAGTGGGCTGCACAGCATCAGGGAAGATAGAAAGAGATTGATGGCATCTTCACTGAGACCTTGCAGAGATGAGAGCCTGAACTCCCGGCTGCACAGAAAGAGGGTCTGCAGTCACTGGAGTGGTGAATGGAGACTTGCAAGATGGGGAAGACCAGAGTCTTGCAGCCTCTGGCAAGAGAAGGCAGGCTCCTTTTCCACCTGCAGTCAGTGCCTCAATGGCAGACAAGGGGCTGGAAGTTCTGAGGAAGCATCAGAGCAGCCTGAACAGCACAACCACACCAAGAGGAAGCAATCACAGAGATAGGAGACTCCCTCCTACAGGGGATAGAGCCCTCCGCCATCTGCCAATCTCACTCGCTACCTGCGGAGGTTTGCTGCTTGTTAAGAAGTTGCAGACTTGCAAGGTTTCTCCTGTGCTTGGATTATTAGCCCTTGCTGTTCAACCATGCTGTTCACATGGGCACAAATCATAAGTGCTGCAAGGGAACCCTTGAGAGTATCAAGAGTGACTATACAGCTCCAGGGGCAAGGTGGCATCTCCACAATTTCACCATTGAAAGAGAAAGGCTCAGAGAGGCATGAATGTTGGTCAATAACTGCAGGTTGTGCAGCTGGTATGACAACAAGGATTTGGCTTTTACAGCCACAGGACACTCTTTGGGGATGAAAGACTGCTAGGAAGAGATGGAATCCACTTAAGTGGGGCAAAAGTATCTTCACCTTCAGGTTGGCCAGCCTGGTGAGGAGAGCTTTAGACCATAACAACAGGAGTGTGAATAGCAACCCACAGACAAGTAGAAATTAATGGATATGGGTGGAAAGCAAGTGGTGAAAGGTGACAGCTACAAGGGAGATCTCAAAATGATAAAAGAGGGTAGAAGAGAGTCTACCACAAGTGTATGTACATAAACGCACACAGCTTGGGAAACAAGCAGGAGAAGCTAGAGCTCCACATCCAGTGACATAACCGTGACGGTGTTGGGCTACCTGAAACATGGTGAGCCAGCTTGCACAACTGGAATGCTGTTGTGGATAGATGGACGCAAGCTGCTCAGGAAAGACAGGCAGGGCAGATGAGGGAAGAGGGCTGTCTGTGAGGGAGCAGCTTAGATGTATGAAACAATGGGACAGACAACAGGTTGGTTGAGATCTTGTGGTTCAAGATCAGAGAAGATACTAGTAAGGGCAACATCATGGTGAGTTTGTTACAGATCATGCAATCCAGGCAAGGAAGTAGATAAAGTCTTCTTTAAACAACTCAAGAAGTTTCTGCATCACAGACCCTGGTTCTTGTTGATCTCTGACATCTGCTGGAAAAGCAGCATGGTGGGACACAAGTAGCCAACATCTCTTGATACAGGCATTGGATGGACAGAGCTGACCCGCAGCTGAATCTGTTACTTACTAACAAGACAAAACAGTTCTGGATGTGATAATCAGTGGCAGCTTTGGCTGCAGTGACCATGAAATGGCAGAGTTCAAGATCCCAGAGAGACTGATAAAGGAGAGTAAGCAGAATACAGACCTTTGACTTCACTTGCCACTTCCTCCTCGTGCCCCTGCACAGTTCAGGCTCAGCCATCTCAGATCCATCATTGGACAGGGCTTTCAGTCCCTCACCTGCAGCCAGAGCACTGAACCTATCCTGTAGTTACAGAAATGCAGCTGGAGAAGGAGCCTTCCTCCTGCTGCCAGAAGTCACAAGCTTCCAGCCCTTCCATATTTTAGGAGACTATATTCCAACCCAATAATCACAGACTCTGCCTGCATCTCCTTCAATGTAGTTGTAGGTTTAGGCTCCTGCAGCTGCAGGGTCTCCGAGATGATCTATTTCCTTTTGTAGTCTCTGATGTTGCACGATCTGGTGACCTCTTCCTGCAGCTCTTAACTTGGTGACACAGATCATCCCCCAGCACACACCTCCTGCAAGCAAGGAGACCATCTTCCCCTGCCCCAACAACCTCAGTGGGAGGCCCCAGGCCCCTGTAACTCCAGGCCTGGAGAGCTTCATCCTCCTTCAGGAGCCTGGCCTGAGAGCTGCAGACCATAAAGTTGACACCATGTTTCAGACTTCCTCCAAAATCTCACTGGAAAACAGAAGAGCTGCAGCTGACAAGAGGTACTACATCCCAACCAGCCATGAAACCGCACAGGCTGTAAGCAATATGACCTCCCAGTGCAAAGCAAATAATTTGAATAAGCAATATTATTAGCAAGATTTATTCAGTTCTGAATGCAGAAGTTATACTTAAAAAGATTAGGCATTAAAGCTCACTATTCTTCCTCTACAAACTACTAGTTCAATCTAATTCTCAGTTCTGGTATTTGAGTCTTCCTTCCCTGGAACAAGCTTCAGCTATTTAGGGGATTACAATTCTCCTAAAATAATGGTTTGCAGATAGCATTTTCCTTAGAAAAGCAATTCCACCGAAATCAGTGGAGCTGTTCCAGGCAGAATATACTTTGATTTTCTGAAAGATCAGAGCCTTAATTAGCAGATCATAATTACACTATTCATTTTCATTTCAATGTTCAACGACTTTACTAACTCTTCACTTAGTTTTAGAATTATAATTTATATTTGTACTCTATACCTATAATTTATAATTTAATTTTTTTTAATTCTAGTTTAAACATCATGGTATTTGAAAGCTTACAGAAAATAGAGATCTGTTTTTGGTTGAAGTAAAAAGCCTCTCTTTCCTTTATTTTTACAACTTCAGTGAAAACCTTATAAAGTTTCCTCCCATTATCTACCTAAGATTATGAACACACTGGGACAAACTTGGTACCTTGCTGTTTATTTAGATGGTATTCATGACTCAAGGTCACTATGACACACCAAGAAACCAATTGTTGTTAAATTCCAGATAGTTTAAATAGATGTCTAAAGCTGATTTTGCCAGCCGGTTTTGGAAAAGTGAAAAGAGCCAGGTTTTATGCTTTTCTATTTACATATTTTCAAGGTTTACACTAGGTTGGTCTCAAAGAAACAAAAGACTAGAAGAGATCTACTGCATCACCAAGTCTAAAGGGACTCCATGATGTGATGCTTGCTAATCACAAGACAATCCAGGTTCAAGAAGCTAAAACAGTCACTGGTAGTTTTCTTCCCTATTATGATACAGGAAATAAAAAGAGGTATAAAATCTCTTCAGCATTCAAAATACTAAATACTTTCTATAGAGCTGATGCTATCTATACAGAGCTAGCAAACATTGCAGCTCTCAAAATGTTTTCTTTAAATCTCTTTATGGCAGAAATAGAAACAAAATCTGATCAACAGTATTTATGAAAACTAAGTAAATGAAACAATGCCAGTCTGATTCCCCAACCTCTCAAAAAAAAAGGCAGATATTTTTAATAGACCATATGACAGAACAAAAATAGAATCAACAGCAATTAGCTCAATAAAGTCAAACTAATTGAATTCAACAAAAGCCTGTGCATCGGTATTAGATTCTCTGTCTTACAGTGCAAGCACATATCACGCCAGTGAGAAGTGAAGGTTACGCACATGGTTTGTTATCTTTAAGCATATATCCCGCCTGCATTCAGACTCCAGAAACAGTGCTTCCTATCTGTGTTATTAGACAACTTTTAAGAAGGTAGAATAACCTAAAGAAAGATTTATGTGGCGATTCTACTGCAAGAAACAGTAAAGCCAAAACCACAGGCACTTCGTATTACAGTAACAACTAGAACAAAAACAATAGGTGCAGCACAACTTTTGCCTTACACATAGAGCAAGTACAAGCAGAATAATAAAAAATATCTTCAACATTAAACCTTCTTCTGTTTTTCCCAAACAACATGTTTTTCTTACCCTCCTCATCTTTTACAATCTTTGAAACCCAATGGAGTGATTAGTTTAGGAAAAGTACTGACACTGTGCTGAACTTGATAACTTTCTACATGATAAATTGAGTAAAGATACAAAGTTAAATAAACTCACCATTTCAGTGGTGTACCTTCGTATTCAAACCATATTTCACTAACTTCCTCTTGTCTCATAACTTTCTGAAAGTGTTTCTTCACTTTGTCTGTTACCAGTGTCAAGTAGCTTATCCTTGGCAAAAGTAACTGAAAAAAAAAATTAAAGAAGCTTTAAGTACACATAAAATTTACTAAATTAATAAATATCTGTAACCAGTATGCATGTTCATAACCAAAATTCAGTCAGCATTCTTTTTTTCCCCTCCTTAAGCTAAGACGTCTTTTAGACAGTTTACTTATTAATGGTCAATGAAAGGCTACAAAATTATGTACTCAGAAGATGCAGAATAGCAGTATCCAATACACTAACATAAAAAAAGTAAAAAAATAAGTTTTGATTCTTTCGATGTGGTGGGAGGGAGAAAAGTGGAATTTAATTTCTGGAATTTCATTTTCTGTATTTAAGCAGGCCAAAGAACAAAGTTTTTAACTGTTTTCATATGAACAGAGAGGAACATGTTCTACCTTCTTATTGAATACAATGAGCAACTGTGTATCACCTATTATTTCAAAATGGAAATTTCTACAAAATATAAAAAAAAGAGAATGAACACTAGCTGCTTAAGGGTTTGGTTTCCAAGTGCGTTTTGTATTTCCAATAGCTGGCAATTTCCATTTTCTTTGCACTGGGTTTGCCAACTCAACATGTTAGTCAAGGCTACTATGATTCTTCCACTATTTAACCTTTACCCAGCTACTAAAATCAGAAAGAAAACTGTCAATATTTATCAGTTGAAACAAGACACCTTCTTACAGCTTTCTTGTATACTATCTTTTTTTTCCTCAAGTGTAGTGTTATGCACTATCCAAAACAGAATGCTGTGTTATTTTTATTTGCAATCCCCTCCTCCTTTTTTTTTTTTTTTAAGTCTCATGCCTAGTAAGAGTGGTTAAGCAGAGTGCATCAGTGCACTGACTGACGACTGTATAGCACATTTACTTAAGATGAATCAGTTCATAAGCTTTAACGAACAATGCCTTTTAGTATGCCGATGAGAAAAGATTAACCTCTCTGTAAAATAACAGTTAGCTTTGGAGCAGACATTTTAAATGAATCATATTTATCCTGTAAAGTTATTTTCATTTCCTAATTATTAATGAAATAGATGGGTCTAACGAATAAATAGAAATAAATTATATTTTGCATATTTAGAGAAAGAGAAACATTTGTTTTCCCGTGTTCCTCATAACCAGTGTTGTTTCTTAAAACATTTTCTTTATAGCATATGGATAATGCTAGGCCTTAAGTGAATGTCTATGGTACAGACATCCCAAACCATGTAAGGATATATTTTGACTCACAGAAAACTAGATCTCTCCTGCAACATTCTTCCAGAATCTCTCCAACAATTAGACCACACTTTGATACATAAATTAGATAACATTTTGGCCATGGTACTAGAATTTATTTATAAATATCAGATTCACAAAGAAGTAGTATGGAGAGTAAATCAAGAGTAAGTTCTTATGAAAGAGAATAGATTTGTCTTTTAGATAATGCTGTATTAGGTTACTAATCTGCATACATCTATGAAACAAGTAAATTTTAGGATTATATAAAACTACAAAAGATCAAGACTCACCACTATCACAGTCATCAAGTCAGTTAACACTTGATCTTTTATGTACCGTATGGTTTTCTTTTTCCATCTGTTGCTCTTATTACCATCATCATATTGTTTCTACCTTCTTTCATAGGAGTCTAATTGAGCAAGGTAATTAAACACAGTCTTCAGTTTTAAAAGGTGAACAATCTCAATAAATTCAATGAAGTCATGTACACACTCAGGTGAGAATTGTTTTGTACCTCAATGACTTGAATGGCAATATAATCTTATCCTTTATTAACCTAATGCCACATATTTACACTGATTGTTCTTGAGACAATATAGTCAGTCCAGGCTATTCCAATCAAACCCAAATATTTCTGGTAATAATTCCATATTATTTCTGTGTGATATTTACAGTTAAATGAATGCTGGTATATTCTGATATGAGACCCATTTGGACTGATACAAAAGTCAGTTTTCAGCATGCTGCACATGGCACAGCCATGCAGGAACTGATAAATATACTAAAGCATTATTGATTGCAACAGTGTTTGACATAACCCTTTAAACTGCACAACTAACTTCCTCTGTAAAATATTTTACTTCAGTTTGTAGTGTGGAAGAACAATGCAGTTTCTATTTCAACACAATTAGAGATCACAGACAATAATCAAACAGCATTTAACTGAATTTAACAGAATGTGGCCAGCACTCCCAGTGGGCCTCTTTGGAGTACAAAGCCTAATGGTTCATCAGGGTAACAGGGACTGCCTATTTTTCAGAGATCCTTAGCATTTGCAACACCTACTGAACTCTTTTTGGTCTTTCCACCTCTTCTACCTTGCTACAGTCTTCCCCTTCCATGGGAGACACAAAAGGATCCAAGTCTATCTCTTTTCTAGTTTAATTATCCTAGAGACTTACAAGTATACTAAATCTGTTAAGTGAGACCTTTAAAAGCATAGTTTAAAGACATTTTCATTACCCCTTTTAATATCCCTTGTCCACCAGTGGTCTACACTCCGTGAAAGACACCAGTTGACACAAAACATTTTTACTCCAAAAATCCTGTAATTTTTAAATGCAATTACTGAGTATTTCCAGAGGAAAGGTACTAAAAAATATTTAGAAAAAAACCCTTAATGTATTTAACTATATGTTGGGCTTCAGTCAATCTCTCTGGCAGCAGAATCGCATTAATTGTTTTATAGAGGCCTCTATATGAAAACCAGAGTTCTACACAGCAGTTCACCTTCTAGACTAGTAGACACTCACAAGCTTCTCCAACATTCTAGCCATGTGGCAAGAAGCCTTCCTTTTAGGCAAAGCCATGTTCACCAGAATGACACCTCTCCCAAACACTTTTGCTACTGACTCCTAAGCCAGGCTGTGCAGGCCAATGAGGCTATGCCCTTTCAGCCTTTGGTTACCCTACAGCAATACTTCTAGTTGCTGGGAATGAACGGCCATGATTCAGTGATAAGAGTAATTCTTTGTTTAGGGCTGTAATACCCAATTAAGAAAAAAAACCCACATCATCATATGACAAGACATACTAATCCAAGTTAAACTCATTCCACTAGGTCAGATTTGCTCAATTGCCTTTTTTTTTTTTTGGACAAATAACCTTCTATCAGCAGACTTTGTGCTAAAGGTTAGAACCATGCTATGAAAATCAAACACATCCAACAATGCAAGTAATGTAACAACTGCAACCTGAATGTAGGACTGTTAAATCACTACATAATATGCTAAAAGGCAGAATGCCCATCATAAATGAAAAGACACACAGTACTGCATGGGCAAATACACAGACAAGGTAGTATCAAAGTTTTTAATGAACAGACTGAGTGCATATTTAGCATAGATTCAATAGTTATCAATTTAAATAGTGTATGAAAGAAAATAACTAATAGGAAAGTATATGATATAACACATAAGGAATTAAACAGAAGAGAATCCCGGTTTTGATTCAAGTTGTCTGGCAACTGACTCTGCCATGCTGCCCGCTGATCAATGGCAGACGAGTATAATGCTTGCCGCTCACTATGCTGCGTAACAAAGAAACCTGAATGAAAAAACTCACTTTCAGTTGAGCTTTGTGGCTTGGAAGCAGCCACATCTGTCTTATCCTCTAGAAAGGACAGACTTGTAAGAAGATCCAAGAGAAGGGTAAAGCAGTCAGTGGGCGAATTGCTTTTAAGCGTCAAGACCAAGTAAGGATTCCTGAAATGTTAAGTGCGGCTGGGTGCCTTTCCCTCCAGCAACCAGTTGTGTAAGTTTTCTGCCACTCGGTATAAAAACAAAAAGCTGGCATAAACTCCCTCAAAGTAGTCAGAGTACATGGTATAAAGCCAAGTAGATGTTCATGACCTGTTGGCATCAGACTGGCCAGTTCAGCAGTAGTGAAGACAAGATAAACAAATCACTCAGTACTAATAATTAAAAAAACAGCATTTGAGAATATGAAAAAAAACCTAAAATTCATATTCACATCTGAATTCTTAAGTCAATGGCCATACCCAATGTAATTATTACTAGATCTTGATTAAAAACGAGACACAACAATCATCAACTGCTTTTGATACAATTTCTAGCCCTAACTTTGAAAGAAAACGTGAAAAAAACTTTCAGACAATTCATATATGCTCAGCTTAAACCAAAATAGCTACACAAAACTGATGGGGGGGAGTGGGGCAAACAAATAAGATTAGGAGTTCTGCTCATTAAATTAAGAAAACAAAAGTAAATCTCCAAATACATTACCAGGCAGAATAAATCCTAGTAGGCTAGAACATGCCATCCCCAAAATTATACAAACAGCAACACCTTCTTTTTGCATATTGTGTATTGCTACAGTATTTAATCACAATAACCAGGAATGCTTTCTGTAGAGGTCAAACGAAACGCAAGGAACTCCTAGTGCCTAAGTAAATGCTTGCAATATATCTTCGCATAAAGAGAGTAACTCTCCAGCTGTCTCCACAGGTTTTGTTGCAGACCAACACACGTTTTACATGCAAAACAGATTATAAAACTGAAAATTCTGGATTTAACAAGAACTGGACTGGTCTGATCACCAATGCATCCAGCATGAAGAAACAAAGCATCCTAACATGGAATGGCTTCACATTGCTCACTAATATAGACATCTTAATAAAACAACCCTTTTGACACCGAGGAAGCTTAAAGAGTGGCCCAGTAAAGGCTAGTCCCTTGGGCAGAGTATCATTCCAAGATTGCCTTCTGCTGTAATTTTGTTCTTTACACCTGACAAATCTCAGCCAACGAGTACTCTGCTTCCTGTACACATTTTATTTCTAACTGTTGTTTGCACCAAGAGACAGATGGTACACCATTTTAAAGTAAAAATCGTAACAATTTTAGGACTAGGGAAAAAAAAGATAGCTCAGCAACAAAGGTAGTTCAACCTAGCTGTTCCTCATTATGCTTCCACTCCAAACACAAGCATCTGTAGGAAACACTCCAAAGAAACTGACATATCTGCTTCCAGTGTAACTCTGCTGAAACCTACCTGGCTTGACTACAGCAAGAAATAGGACAGTGTTTTACCTGAGCTGCTTAGTCTTGATGTCACTACTCTTTCCAAAAGATAGACAAGCTCATTTTAAGTTAGCTCTGCTAGCCCCATGCAGTGCCATAATGCGATACATGTATGCATCGCTCCTGTGCGGTGCTAATACATCTAACAGACAGGGGTCTCCTGCCGCACCACTCACAACAAACTGAAATCCATCACACAGATTCTGGCTTGTTTTTCTAACCCTCCAGGTCTATGTCTTCCTCCATCTTCACAAGCAAGTTCCTCAGAGCAGAAGCTTTTTTTCCCCCCTCTTAGCATAACGATGCCAGTATTTCCTTCCCATTTACAGAAGGCAGTCTGGAATACAGAGGTTGTATCTATATTAACAAGTACTGAGGTGTGATATGAGGAGATGCGTAAAGCTGAAGAGCTGGTGTCAAGGGCTGGGAATGTTCACTTCTTTTACTCCAATTTCACGGGTTTTGATGGTTTTTACTTCAATTTAGCTCCAGTTTGATCCTATACACTAAATGCCCATTAGCAGTCGAAGCACATCACCTGCTTCAGCTTCATGTGAAAATGATTCAGCTTGTGGGTTATGAGAGTGCTGTGTGATGCAAACCTGGGCACAGTAAGTGGAAAGGATGAAGACTTGCTTAAAAAATGCACTCCAGATCTGAACAAAAACATTAACATAGATGCACTCTGAAATCATGAGAACTAAACCATGATTTCAAACCTTGATTGCTATTCTACCTTTTACTGTTATAAATGCTTGGTCCCTTCAAGAAGCAAAGCTATATTATCAGCTCCAACATGACCTGAAAAAGGAAGAAGCTAAAATTTTAGAACTGTGATCTGTGAACAACCACATTTTGCAGAAATAGGTAATTAAGCCTTGAGAATTTTTGTGCACGTTTTAAGCAGAGTAAATAAAAGAAACTCTGCCAGCTTAAAACCATCTCCTTGGCTTACAAAGGTGGCCACACCGTGAAGATAACATGGCTTCAGGGTTTCCATGCTGATGTTAAACAGATCAAGACTGCATGTCTCTATACTTAAGACTCATACCTTTCAGATAACGCTGATACAACACATACATGTATGTTTTAAATCATATTTATATATGAAAACATAAAGAATTTAAAGTCTGAGACTTCTAGACAGCCCAAATGCATCTGGCAATAGGTCAACCACAAGAAGTAAAGTGCTTCTGTTTTACCAGTGGTGAAACTAAAGCATAGAAAGATAAGCACTAGCATCGCTTAACAAAAAGCATTAACGCTTTATTAGGTTTCAAAAACCCACTGAACACACACGTAAATCAGAAACTGATGACACAAAGATGCTATTAAACACAGAAGAAAAAATATTTCTATCCAGTAGTATTTTCAAAAAGAGTAGAACGGGATATGACAAGATTTAAGGATTTCAGAATCACATAAAAACTCATAGTACAAGATTTTCCTCCCACATACTTGCTACATTTCAAGTTTTTCACTGAATCAGCTAACATTCTCTATCAATCATATGTCTACTAGGTGCTGAAAGGATAAAAACTGCTGAGCACAGTATAAATAAATACCACATGATTATAGAAGGCCTTCCAGCTAACAACTCAAATAAATCCATCTCGCCTTCGTTTTTATCATCAGCTAGCAATCCAGTTCAGGCACTGTACTGTTAAGACATTATAGCTGCTTTTCCGACATCTGAGCTAGATCTCTCATGGCTGCTAGCATTTAAAGAAAATGAGCAGAAATACCGGAGCCAGAGTTCATCATGAGTTTGTGTTACGCAGGTGACTGATCTTAGTGTTTAAGATTGCACAAACCTCTGACTGAAGTTATTTCTGTAGCAAGGTAACATACAAGTTCTCTCCCTTCTTCTGGTCATTATCCAAGAACATACAAACTCACCATGAGCACACATAGAGCCTCCTCCTTTTAGCTAATTACTTGTTAACTTTTTCATAATTCTGTTAAGATCTTAATTATCGGTGATAAGTTTATCTCACTGGTGAAACAAGCCTAAAGTTTTGAACCTGCTGTGAAGAGGCGCATCACGCAGAGCGGTCATACAGTTTACTTTCAGAACATACCAGAAATAGGAAGAAAAAAGCTGCTGTTTTTTTTTTTTTCCACAACATGTAGTAGCAGACATGATGAGAATGAAGGAAATAAACATAACTGTGGCATTGGACTATCTGTGACTACCTTCATTATACTCACATAATAAGGTTCAGCTTCCCTTTCAGTTATCTCATCCTGATACAGAGTGAAACAGGTTGGTATTCGTCCAAACCACACATCTCGAAGTACATCTTTGTCATCTGTCATTCTCCCAACGGATAGCGAAGCACATGTAGATCAGCTTCTCTTTTCAGCTAGAACTGTAACCCTGTTCCCCCCAAAAGAAACAAGTCAGCACAACTGCAATTAAAATACGTCTTGTTAGATGTTCTCCCACAAGGACGCTCCTGCAAGCACGATCAACACTGTCACTGAGACACTAAATGCCATCACTTTGTACAAAGTAATGGGATGAGTTAAGGCCTCCGAGTTAACACTTTCCCAACTACGAACACGCGGTGGATGACGAGTAAGCGAGCATTTTCTAAGCCTGCATCACGCCCCAACCGTAGAGCCAAAGGGACCTTTCCCATTACCGCCTTGCGGTCATCCCGCAGCTCCCACGCCCCGCCGAGGCCCCGGCTTTACCGCGGGCCAGCAGCCCCGGGCCCACGGGCAGCCAGCACAGCCGGTGCCCACAGCCGAGCAGGGACGACGAAGCAAGCAGGTCGCTCGGGGCGGAGAGGGGACAGCGAGGCCCCAGGACGGTCCCCAGCATCGCCCACCGCCGC